GACCGTTTTTCTATTGTCTTTCTCCTCGTCATCTGTAACTGGTAATGCGTCGTCATTCATGTTTGTTACCAGCTAACAATGTAAATATTCAAATAATTTACTTACAGGCTATAGAAAAAGGTGAAACTCCACCGCTGCCGCCTTCACCACCCCCAGCAAAAATGGTTGATACTGAGCCAAAAAAGATCAGTCAGGTCGGTTAATTCTGCCACATTAAATTAAGTCTTTTATAATTTTATAATACACTAATTGTTCGAATTTATGTGCATTCTGCTTTGGTGTTTCGATCAGCTGCAGTTCATAGCGAGTTTTCCAGCTAAGCAGATTGCGAATTTTCCCGTTGTTTTGACCAGTAGATTCTAGATCGGTTGGTGATCAGCGTACTGGCATTTCAGGTGATTTGATTCTTGAAGGAATTGCTCCAACCGAATCACCTTCGCAAAGCTTTTATCATTTTAGAGTTTCTTTGATGTGTCTTAAACATAATCGTCCCGTTCCCAACCATTATCATTCGTTGACCACGATGTGTTATTTTACCAGTTAAGAGTATTCCACGAAAAAATTAGGTGCTACCTTGCCTTTCGTGCGTTAAAGAACTTCATTATTTTGAAGGGTAGAAAAATTTTCCAGCTTTGCTGAAATAAGGCTGGCCAGAATATGCATTTGATCTTAATCAAGAATTTGAGTTTTATTATGTTTGCAATGACAAAATGAGAGAATGGACTCTACAACTGACAAGAATCTGATTTTTAGAGTGCTTCGATATCTCCTGTAGAGCGTAAAACACGGAAATCGAAGAAAGATAAGAAAAAGCGCAGACGTCGAAGCCCTTCATCCAGTTCAGCGAATACGGCGAATGAACCCTCTTCTGAGGAACTAAGCGAAGGGGAGCTTCGCAAAAAAATCCTAAAGAAACGAGAAAAAGCGCTAAAAGAAGAAGAAGCTATGGAAAGTGAGTATTAAGTTTTTCTTTTTACGGAATTCGATGGTTGACTTTAGGCATTGTGCAGAGAATTTACCTTACTGCGTGTCGTGAACGGAGCCCTTTTTCAAAAAGGGTTGTGGGCCAGGAAGGAATCGAACCACCATGCTTCACGCACGGACGCAACGTATTGCCACTACACTACCTGTCCTTGTGCTCCATGTTCAGCCTGGCAGTACATCTACTGTGTTTTTGCCTTTCATGGGAAGTTCCGTCTCTTTTTCTTTGTGGCGGCTTCTTGGTTAGCTTTTCTCGGGTTTTCTAGACAGTGTGTTTGGAAAAACCCATTTCACATTAGCTTCAAGCATTATCTTTGGAATAGACTTTCCTGCAAATGACCCGTCTTCTGTTATTTTACACCAGGTGTTTTTCTTTTTACAGTACTTTCAGTGGTTTTAGGTATGAAACAGCAACCTGTTGTAAAGCCGACATTGGGAAAATGGGAAGAGCAGGAAGCGGAGACAACTTTATTGCAAAATACCACACTCAAATTCGGCTTGGAGAGCACGGTAATGTACTCTGTTTCTTCTAGATTTCTTTCGAATGCATGTAGATTTTTTAAATTTCCACAAGAAACTTTCCTTTTCTCTTGTGCATGGTGATAGTAGATGGATGCGCTTCACTACAGTGCTCGTTTAGTAGTGCACTAATGTTGTATATTATGCATTATTGTGTTGTATTTACAGGCACTTAAGCGTCTGTGTTTTTTGGGCTCGTTTTTCCTTTGCACGACCTCGGCAGTCACAAGTGCGGAACTTTTCCATTAAGTTTCCAGTGTTGAGTTATGACGTACATGATTCAGTGGACCGAAATGTCTTATCTCATTCGTGCCTCCTTTCCTCATCCTTTCCTTCTTTCTGTGTTCAGTACGCCTTCGACACATTGCATCCAAGATCAACCTGGATGCTACAATCGACTTTTCCATGGAAACGTTTTCCGCTTGAAAATTTCTTCTTGGACATGGGACAATTTCATAAAATTCAGTTTTTCCGTTTTTGACACCACTCCCTCTTTCCCAGAATGTGCACAGCCTCTTTTTAAGCTTTTCTTTGCACATCTTTTCTCTCGTTAAGTCATCGTAACTTTTTCTGTCCACGGACTTTTTTCCTCTGTCGATGGATACACACTGTCGGGAGGGGCAGTATTTCTTATCTCTTAGTGATTAATTTTGCATTTGCTTTGACCAAGCCTGCTTCCTGTTCTGGTCGCCCTACTGGTAACTCATTTATTCTAAAATTTGAAGAAATTACCAGCTCAACAGTCCCCCTGATTGAAGCGCTTAGCGGGGCTCTAGGTCATTTTGAGGTACCTTTGGGGACCTTCCGGCCATTTTGTCCCCAGCAGTGCCACTCATAGGTCATGATAAATGAGTACTTTGCCCACTAGAAAGGTAAATATGTGACTTGTGTAATACTCAAGTAATGTTTTGACATGATAAAAGATTTTTTTTTGGAATTATCCAAAAAATCCAAAATTCATTTTTCGAAATGGCCATATGCTCACTATTATATGTTCCATTATAGGAAGAAGTACCAAAACGAGTAGTGCGTGATACGGCCCCGCAATTTTCCTCCACGAAGGGTGTTTTCTCTTCGCCACCACCATCCGCTACGGCCCTAAATAAGCGTGATGGGAATAATGGCGTGGTAATTTTTCTT